ATACACACACGTGCACACTCACACACGCAGACACGCACACACTCATGTGCAGACATATGCACACGTACACGTATGTGCACACTCACACGTGCAGAGTGCACACACATGTACACACATGCACACCCATGCACACTCACGTACACACACTCACATGTGCACACACACATACTCACACACATACACACTCACACATATGCAGTCACGCACACACGCTCACACACACATATATATGCACACTCACATGCACACACTCACACATGCAGACACACACACACTCACATGCAGACATATACACACGTACACACATGTGCACACTCACACGTGCAGAATGCATACTTGCACACATGCACACTCATGCACACGTACACACTCACATGCGCAGACATGCACATACTCACACACGTACACACTCACATATGCAGTCATGCGCACACACTCACACACATGCACACATACATATGCACACTCACATGCACACCCTCACACGTGCAGACACACTCACAGGCTCCAAAGTGAAGCGGCTCTAAGTTAGCCAACTGAATGCTCTCAGAAATAACGGCTGATCTGTAAGCTGCGTGCCGTGGCCTGCCTGAGGCAGCCGCGCGTCCTGGGTTCCCGTGCACATTGGCACAAGGCCGGTTGGGTAGATGCGTGTTCGGAGGGATTGTCCCCATTTCACAGAACAGGACACTGAGTCTCGGAATGTGGATTTGTCCTAAGTCCCACAGGTACAAACCCAGGCCAGCTGCCTCTCACGGGCGAGCCCTTGGGGACCGGGGCTGTGCGTCCTGTGCTCCCAGCCCCAGCTGGGACTTTACAGCTGCAGCGTGTAGACAGCTGGAGACCTGTGGTCAGTCCACAGGGCACTTGCTTTGGGCCTTCCAGCTGTAAAACATCCCACTACGTTTCTTAGACCAGTGCTCTGCATTCTAGCCTCTGGCCACAGCCGGCTGCACACGGTGTCTTTGCACACTGCCATCTTGCTCACGCTCATCTCCTTACACGTGCAAGTTCAGCTCTGGGATAAATTCTCAGCGGTGCCCCCCAGGGCTCCAGGCCACTGACTGGCGTTCTTGGAAGATCTTCTTGCAGAAACTAGCCTCTGAGAGGTTGTCCACTCTAGGGGAGGGGCTGTCCGCTGTAGGGTGCTGGGAAACCCAGATGACAGACAGTCATGGAGGACATTTAGGGACAGTGCCAAGGTCAGGCCTGAGTCTTTGGAGTGCAGTACTGGGCGGAGGCAGGGACACCAGTTTCTGGGCAGTCACAATCCTGCGTCTCCCAAGCTCGGGGTCAGCTCAGGCCTTCAGAGTGTTTCTTGTCAAAGCGGCCACCAGCAAGGACTCCAGCCCCCGGGCGGGCTTCTCTGCTGGACTCGAAGTCCCCGAGGTGGGAAGAAGCCAGCGCTGTGGGACACACAGTGTGGCCGGGGGTTGGTGGGGGGGATTTAGTCGGGAGCAGGAGACCCTGTTCTGTGATCCTAACCGCGTCTCTGTCTCTCCGCAGACCATCACTGGCCTCCTGCAGGAGTTCGATGTTCAGGCAAGTACAGGGGGTGTCTCCCCACTGCACCTGCTTCTTGGTTGCAGTAGCTCCCTGCTCAGCTCTTGGGGGGCCGGGCAGAGGAGAAAGCTGGCTTTCCACACTCAGCCCTTGTCGCTGGTCAGACGCTGGCTTGAGTTCTGGTCGAGGAGAAGTAACTGGCCGGCCTGCGACTGTGTGACAGACCAGCCCTGCCCCGCTTAGCGAGACGCAGGCCCGTCGGGGGACGTGGAAGCCGGGGTGGGCTCGGGATGGGGATGGGAGGGGCCGGGAGGGAGCAAAGGCCCTGTGCTTGGATCTGCTGGGAAACCTGAAACCGGCTGGCCCTGTGCTTTACCGGTACTGTCAAGGTTGCTGAAGGTTGGCCGAGGGTGAGGGCCGACTCTAGAACTTTCTCCAAGAGCAACCTTTCCCCCGGAGAGCAGCTGGCCTGTCTCGGCCGAGGGGCAGGTCAGCACCTTGGCACCTTCCGCCCTAGACTTGTTACCCCAACGTGGTGTGTGGCCTGCAGGGGCAGCACCCACAGCTCCGGCCTTTGGGGCTCGCTGGGGGAGAGGGCCCCTCCTGAGCAGGAGCAGGCTGGTGTGCTTGCTCACGGACCTCGCCTGCCCCTCGCAGGCTACTTGCTGGGCCTTTAGGGCCCACCCTTCTGCTCCCCAACCCCACAGCCAGCTCCTCTTTCCCCCTGAGTCTCCTGGGTCAGGGCGTGCCCCCCATGCCCAGATGGCAATCTTGGCACTTTGGAGGGAAGAGGAAATACGGGGAGGGAGGTTGGCTGGCGTGAGGTCACACGGAAAAGCCTGGAATGCCAGCCCGGTAGGGCCGCGGTGTGTTTCCTATCATCCTAGCTGCGCTTTATGCCACTGTCCCTAACGCTGGGGACGCAGCCTGGTGTCAGGAGCCTCCCTCCCAGCCTTCAGGAACTTCAATTGTGAACTTAACAGCTCGCAGTCTCCCTGTTCTCAAGCTCACCGCCTGCAGGTCACAATGGAGGCCTGAGGCAGAGAGGCCAGGCACTTGCCAGAGGCCACAGGGCTGGAAAGGGTTGGGGTTGGGGCGGGGGTGGGACCCAAGTTGTTCTGAAGCAGGTTGAAACCACTTCAGACTCCCTGGAAAGGAGTATGCCAGTTCTGGCTGCCTCGGGGCGTGGGGGACGGGGGCGCCCACTGGTGTGAGGGGTGCAGCCCAGGTCGGGGTCCGGGCAGGCTTCGGGAGGAGGCTGTGCTGAGTGGTGAGCGGGGCCTGGCACTCACTCACTCCTAGGCACAGCGCAGGCCAGGCCCCACTGGCGAGGCTGTTCCAGGGCAGAGGGGCTTCCTGCAGGCTCCGCGTTGTGAGAGATCCCCGGCGTCTGACCTCAGCCAGGGCTGCGGGCGCGGGCAGGGGGCAGTTAGCCCCCGCTCTGCAGTGGGCTCGGGTGGGAGGCGCCCAGTGCTGGGTGCCACTGTGGCGAGCAGGAGGGAGGGATATTTTGGTTTGCAGGTTATTTTCTTTGGCTAGGCTTCTGCAGTCCAGGAATGCAGAGCTGGCTTATAATCCCTTCTGCCCTGGGTGGAGAGACTTCCTTGGAGGCCACTTCAAAGTGAGCAGAGGGGCAGGGCTGATTCGATGCCCACTGGTGCCACAGGCTCCCTTCGCCCAGGTGGCTGTGTCAGTGCCTCCTTTACGGGCGAGAAGTAGTCTGGAGGCGCTCCACTGCCAGACGACACCGGAATGGTCCGGAATGGCACCCAGCCTGCCTTCCGAGTAAGCCACGCTCACGGAGCTGCGCTGTGTCCTCTCGGGCCACTGCTTAGAGGGAAGCGCTGCCGTTTGCAAAGTGCTTCCCAGTCTGGCCCCGGTCTTGGTCCCAGGGGCAGCCCGTCGTGTTTCTTGCCGGCCTCAGGTCACAGCGGAGGCGAGGAAACCTCAGAGGTGATAATTTAGCAGGATTAATCTTGCTCCCAAGCCACAGGCTCTCAGCCGGCGCGCAGAGGCTGACTACCGCAGCACCAGGTTTACGAAAAGAGCGATGCGTTAATGCCATAGGTTGGCAAGGGGCCCGGGACATGTGAGTGCAGATCCGCTCCCAGGCCTCCCAGAAAGGAATGGCTTTCCTGGCTAGGAGGGGGCTGAGGGCTAAGATGATGTCCCTTGGCGAAGCCCATCGGCTGGCTTCAGGGACCTTCGTGCCTAAAGAAGCGTGAAGAGGGTTTCCCCCAAATGCCTGGAGTTCTGATGCTCACTGCACGTTATGCTGGTGTGAATACACACCTCACAGTGGCAGTGAGGGGTCTGCTGTGGGAATGTCTGAGAGAAATGGACATTTTAGCTCCTGGTGCCGTATTACTCAACAAACAGTGCCCCAAGCCAGGGAATGTTTGCTGACTATGCCAGGGAGCTTGGCGCATTGTCGTCCCGAGCATAGGTTCCGTCCTCATGCTGCTAAGGTGGGTGCCGAACCCCCAGGCATCTCATCCACGTTCCAGGTGGGAGGCAGGTAGAAGAGCAAAAGGAAGAATGTCAGAAGGCCTGTGTGGCCCTTAAAACAAGACTCTCCTCAAAGTTCCAGCAAGTTCTGCTGACGTCTCTGGCCAGAACTATCTGCCTACCACCCTTGGCTACAAGAGCGGGAAGGCGAATCTCAGCAGCACGTGCAAATGCAGTCATAAGGACAGTGACAGTGTCTGGGGGCAGCCAGCCAGTCTGCCACAGCTCACACAGCTCCCAAACAGGGTTGGCAGCCAAAGAGATGAAGTCTTTGAGCAATATTTAGTGGTCAGCACGATTGTCTGCACCTGGCAGCTTACAGCTGGCGTGGGCTGGACGGTAGAGTGTCCCCCCGAGACAGACGCTGTCTACACCTGTCCCCAAACTGGCAGACCGGCCGGGGAGGCCCCTGTAAGACATGCATGTGTCCTGGTGTTACGAAGAAAAGACCCAGGACCACACACGTGTGCAGTGGGGGGCGGGAGGGCTCCCGAGAGTGACATTAGTGCTGAGGCCATTGCATGGCTGACACACCTGGCCCCACACCTGCAGGCTGCGGGCAGGTGCAGGTTTGGGGTGTTGTGTTCTGTGCGCCTGCAGGGTCTTTGAATAGCGGTCCGTGGAGACACTGAGTGGAGGGGCGCGTGGGCATTCTCACCACCGGGAGCCCGATTTACTGGCCTTCCCCGGGCACTACCGTGTCCACTCCAGGTGTCCTCGGCCTGTCCTCCTGCGACACCGTCACAGTGGAGCATGGCTGCGCTTGTTCTGTGCAGGGCCAGTCCTGCCCCCTGCACCATTCTGGCTGTGTGTCCTTGGGACCACCGCTTGCCCTCTCTGGCCCTTTGTGCCCCGCTGTGAATATGGCCTATGGTCACTCAGTGTGAATTCGCTAAAACAAGCTTGCAAGATGTGCGGGGCTGGGCCAGAAGGAAGATGGGGGGATGCGTGGTTGCTGCCCCTCTGTGCCATCCCTTTACACCTGGAGAGGCTCTTCCTCGGCACCTCCAGAGGAGGGGAGGGGAGATTTCGTGCAGCCCAGGTCTGTCTCCTGTGCAGGCCCCAACTACGTGGACCCTGAGAGCAGAGTCCAGTAGGCTCTGCTGAGACCCACAGAGCATGGGCCTGGGAGGGGGACGGGAGTGTGTGCCTGTGGTCCTAGACCCCAGAGGGGGGTCCCTCGACGAGCCCCAGGACAGGGGACTTTCCCTTATCAGCGAGGAGTGGGGCAGCCGGCATTTCTGAAGATCCGAGTCCTTTGTGCCTGTTCCTTCCCGCTCCCTGGGGGCTCCCGCTGGCATCCTAGAGCCAGTTGGACCAGGACACCCCATTTCTGTCACCGCATTCAAACCACACAGCAAGACCCCGATTTCTCCCGGTGCTGTGTGCCTGGCTGAGGCTCACCCTCAGCTGCGGGCGGGTACGGCGTGGCCCGGCTGCCAGAGCTGTTGAGGAAGGGCAGTGCTGGGATTTAAACCCTGGTGCCCCCAGGCTGGTGCGGACATGACCGCTGCCTCTATTTTTAGCGGCAACCATGTGGGTCAGCTAGGGAGACAATAGAGAATGTGGCCCCCACAAGGGACCATTGTTCGCACAGTGGCCTCAGGGCCCAGCAGATGATCCATGGCCCCAGCGGCTAGCCTGTTGCTCCATCATCTGAATTTTTCCAGAGCTTGCTACCCGAAGCAGTAGAGATGCACTGAGCACCGAGGGATAAAGGGGGCCGGGGACACTGGCGGGCCTTGTGTTCAGGGCTCACTTTGCCGGGGTGATGGCTGGTGCCTCAGGAGGGCCCTGTGCCGGCTGGGCCTGGGCACTGGTGGGCTGGGGCCTCTCCCTGGCGCCTTGTGCCCACCACCACTCCCTAGTGGCACCCTGTGTATCCCCCTAGCACCCCACTGTTTCCCATTTCAGAAACAGTGGCAGCTGGAGCTGTGCCTCGGGCCTCCCCAACCTCCACTTGATTGCCTCAGGGGTCCTGAAGCCCAGGACTAGAAGCCCCTCCTGGCCGTCTGCCTGGGGTGGGAAGGGGCCGTTCTTGTTCAAAACATGGAGGCCGCTCTGGAGGGAGAGGCTGAGAATTGGGGTGTGTTTCTTTGTACACCAGTTTCCCCAGATTGAGAGCCACTGCCTCAAGGGTGGGGGCTGTCTTAGTCCTCCCCGACGCCCAAGCCCGCAGCGCCCTGGCGGGGGGTCAGCCCCTTTCTCGCTGTGCCCTGCTGGTGCCTGTGAGTACCTGTGAGTTCCTGCCTTTCACGGCAGAGCTGGGGGCGCTGGCGTGATGCAGCTGCCCCGTAAGTGTGTGCTGGGTGCAGCTGAAGTGGCTGCACATTGAAGAAGCATCAGAGGTGGGGCTCGGTCCCTGTGCTCAGACAGTGTGGGTGCAGCCCCGTGGCCTGGCCTCAGAGGACACCCTCCACAGGTCTGTGCCCTCCTGTGGCCCTGGGCCTCTCGGCCCTTTGCAGATGAGACCTGGGGTCCGGCTCCCCCAGTTTCACTGGGTCCCGCGTGGGTGACCAGGTCCCTCATTCCTCACCCATGAGTGGTGAACTTTGACCTTTCTCTCCCTGAAATTCAGTAGTCAGTGCTACAGCTCACAACTCAGTGGGCTTCTGGGAGGAGGTCTGATGGCATCTGGAATGTTCCAGGATCCACTTCTGGGCCTCTTTACTCCTTGGAGAATAAATGTCTCCTGAGGTGACCTTCTGAGGCGTGAGCGTGGTTCACCTGGCTGCATGGTGACTCTGGCCGCCGCCTGAGTCAAAATGTCACCATCTGTCCGCTTGGGGTCAGGACACCCCTGCACCTGGACGGTCTCGCCTCCTGTCCTCAGCAGCTGGCAGCCCTGCCCACCCACACAGCGCCATGCGTAGGCACACCCAGGCAGGGGAGCGCCGTGGAGGGGAGGCCGGTGCTCACAGACCTGGGACATGCCCAAGTGAGGCCAGGAAATGGCTCTTGGAGCCTTGGGGTGACCTGCAGGAAGGTGGGAACCTGAGGCAGGTGTGGTTGAAGGTGAGCGAGGACCGAGAAAGTCTCTCCACTGCAGCTCTCTTGCAGTTTAGATGAAAATAGCGGGTAGCAAATCGCTCTTGCAGGTGACTCACTCTTTGAGGGAGTTAGTGTGCTTCCAGTTAAGGCCAGGCAACTTCTTGAGGATGGAGGAAGGATGCACATGTTTGCAGCTCTTAAAATTCGACTTCTAGTACCAGGAGAGTGGGGATGGCTGACTGATGAGGCAACTTGAGGGTACAGGTGAGAGGGTTGGCCTCGGCCAGGGGAAGACACCCCTGGTCCTCTGGGAAGGGAGGCCTGTGGCCTGTGGGAGAGGGTATAGCTTCATTTCGGCTTCCTCTCATCAACACAAAGTGGCTTCCAGGGACCTGGAGGTTGTTGCCCCACGTGGCTGTAAATCCAAGATGGCGGACGCCATCACCAACACCTTTATCTTCTCACCGTCACTGGCTGTGTTTCAGACGGGTCCTTGCCTCTTGGTAAAAACGTGGCTGCTGCCTATCTGAGCCTTCCAGCATTGCTAGAGCAAGTCCAGTCTGCCCCCCAGAGCTGATGCGTGTGCTTCCCATACAGCACTCCTCTCGCTGGGAAGCAGAATCCATACACCGGCCTTGACCTCTCAGACCTGGGCAGGAATCGTTACCCATAGGCCTAGTAAGACCACGGGGCTGGTGGGGTGGGGCCCCCAATGAAAATAAGGGGCTCTTCTTAGAAGCATGGCGTGCATTCTGGGCCTCCCCTAACCAGCAGCTGTGCATGGCAGGTGCATAGCTGCCGGCCATGTGAGGGGCAGGCGATCGGGAAGCTCGTGTCTGGAGGACCTCAGCTCCCTCGATGGGGTCATGACGTCCTGTGCAGAGGGGCTGTGGACTGAGGCCGGCATGTCTTGTGCAGTTAATGTCACTGTCTGAGAGAGGCAGGACTCTCTCTTCTGCCTCCCTGAAGACGTTCTCCTTCCCTTTATTTCTCTGCTCCTGGAAGGCAACCCCGGAGCCGTTGCCAAATGTGTAGGGAGTGACGTCCGCACGGGCACAACCCCTCTGAGGTCAGCAGTCAGCCCCACTGACACTCCTGTGTCATGTCCCTGCAGGAGCAGGACATCGAGACTTTACATGGCACCCTTCACGTCACGCTGTGCGGAACCCCCAAGGGAAACCGGCCCATCATCCTCACCTACCATGACATTGGCATGAACCGTAAGTTACTGGGAATCGTGTTTTCTGGGAGCCTGTTCCTGCCGGGGGTGGAAGCGGAGGACAGGCAGGGAGTTGGTTTCTCTTTTGCTGCATCTTCCTGGAACTGTTCTGGGAAGAGCTGTTGCCACAGAATGGAAGAATCTGGAATGCACTGGGCATGGAGCTGTCTGTGTGGCTGGAGGTGCTGGCCGCGCTGGGGCCCGCATGCCTGCACTGGCCGTCCTTTTACTTAATAGGTACATGGTTTTCACCATGTTCACAGAATTGTGTAACTGTCGGTTCAGTCCATGTTAGGACATTTTTATTATTCTGGGAAGAAATCCTGGCCCTTGGAGCAATTCCCTCAACCCCCACAGCCCAGCCCCGGGCAACTGCTTCTGGCTCTGAGAAGCTGTCTGCTTTTCCGCTTTGACCATTTTGTGCGGATGGACTCACACACGTGCGGTCTCTGTGACCGCCTCCTCCGTAGTATCTTCAAGGTTCACCCATGCTGTAGTGGTCGCAGTCGCTCACCTTCTTGCTGAAAGATGCTCCAAGGGTGGACAGGCCATCGTTGGCTTTTCCACCCTTCAGTGGGTGGACATGTGGGTTGTCTCTGCTTTCTGGCTCACCTGGATAGGCTGCCCAGAGTGTTTATAGGCTGACATAATTTTTTTTTT